AGAAGACAGGGCCCGAGATAGGAAGCTGAGGGAGGGGAGAGTAGAAGACAGGGTCCGAGATAGGAAGCTGAGGGAGGGGAGAGTAGAAGACAGGGTCCGAGATAGGAAGCTGAGGGAGGGGAGAGTAGAAGACAGGGCCCGAGATAGGAAGCTGAGGGAGGGGAGAGTAGAAGACAGGGCCCGAGATAGGAAGCTGAGGGAGGGGAGAGTAGAAGGCAGGGCCCGAGATAAGCGACCAGAGATCAAACGTATTACCGCCGTGATCTCCGTGGGTTGACAACCACCTTTTCTCCCTCAACCACGATGCTCACTCTCCCACTCTTTATCCTCCATCCATCTCCCACCATCCCTGTTTGAGGGGGCGGGGTCCCGTCCCTATGTACCAAGGAGGGGGTCTATTCAAACAAGGCACTAGAAATCACGCGTTACAGAGACTTTGCTGCCATCGATGGGGCGTGTCCGTGCACGCATCACGTGACCATACGTGTGACGTCATCCGCTAACGGAAGGGCCGCTGGGTCTCCGCAGTGTGATTGGGGGAGGGGGAGGGGGAGGGGGTGGTACGTGTGTGTGTGTATGTTGTCGAGTGAAGCTGGGGAGACCGAAAGCAGAATCCGCGGCATTGTAAACCAGATAAAAAAAAGCTGAGGGGAAGTAGAATATCTATCGTAACTACCACAAGTGTGGTCCAACGACACAGAATGGAGTCAAAAACCAGAGAAAAACGACCAAGTCAAAAGCATGTCAGTAGTATATATATATATATATATAGATCATTACCCAACGGAAATAAGTGGAAATAATTGAAACCAGAGAGCTAAAAAGATCCAAAAAAGTGACGGCGTCACGTACATCTATAGAAACTCACTGTAGGCGGCGCCACCAGCGCCTTTAGCCCGCGTATATTGGCGGCATACCTACCCGTTCTTTACATCGGCCACGCCCTGCGCGAGTGTGTCCCTGTTGTACCTCTGTACATACATGTACATATGTGGGTAGTTGTGCTTTATGTTCTCCTCTGTGCTGCCGTATGGTACGGTGCCGAATTTGAACAGGGGTTGTGAGGCCGTGGGGTACTGTAGCTAGAAGGAAAGCAACGAAAGCCTCTATACCACACACACGCAACTATGTCTAGTCTACGTCGGGCACGCGTGTACTCACCCTTCCTTCACCTGCTTCACTCCGGCGGCGAGAGTGTCTGTGTTATACTGCTGCATATATCTGTACATATACGGTTGATTGGCCTTTATGTTTTCTTCTGTGCTGCCAAATGGGATCGTGCCAAATTTGAATGCTGGATCATAGTGGGTGGGGTTTATCAGCTGCAAAGTAAAGCACAGGAAACAACTGACGGCCATTCGACAGCGCGAAACGAAAGCGAAAACGAACTTGAAACGAACGCGTGGCCCGTTTTAGTTTCGTTCGGTCGCGTGTCGGCAGCGACACCTGGTGTATTGTTGTGATCTCCCATCTATTTGTGATTTGGTTCGTCTGCGTCTATTAGGTGGTTGTGGAAACAGAGGCGACACCTATCGGTAGGTTAAGACTTGGTCGTGAGGAGGGTTGCTGTAGACTTTGGTTTGTTAACCTCCCTCTTTCTTTCTCTCTCTCTCTCTCTCTCTCTCTCTCTCTCTCTCTCTCTCTCTCTCTCTCTTTCTCTCTCTCTCTCTCTCTCTCTCTTTCTCCGTCTCTCCGTCTTTCTGTCTTTCTCTCTCCGTATGTCTCTCTCTCGCTATCTCCCCCTCTTTCTTTCACCATCTCTCCCTTTTTCTCTCTCTGCCTCTTTTTCCCTCTCGCTCCCTCCTCCCCTCTCTCACCCCTCTCTTTCCGTCTCTCTCCCCTCGCTCACACTCTCTCTCACATCTCTCTCTAGTTGCGCGTACCAGACATTCTGTGTATTATGTGTTTAGTCTAATAACAGCGTAATATCCCGCGTTGACCGCTGGGATATGTAGACATCTCCTGATAGATCCGCTGGGATATGTAGAAATCTCCCGATGGAGCGATCCACAACTCAATCCGATCAAGTACGATCAGCGTTTCAGCAGAGACTCCATGATAACCGTTGCCAAGCGAACGCGTGGAGATATAGCAATAGCTCTATATGTTCATATATATGACATTTCAAAATATTTCCGTTCTCCTATAAACCCCCCCCCCTCCCCAATCCCCTAAACCATCTCTACGTGACGTGGCCGCGAACGCCAGTAATGTACATAGCCGCATGCGATTAACATGGTTACACGTATATATATATATATATATATATATATATATATATAACATTATTAATCATAGATAATTAGCCACACATAATATGTGGTGACATTTATAACATGTCAACGCGTATGTAAACTGGGGAGGGAGAGGTTTGGCTGTAAATGGAGGCGGAGGGTGGTGGGTGGCTGTATGAGTGTATATATATATATACTGATGGAGACATCATGTAGATTGCAAGCTGCGTGCCAGAGCTGGTGAGTGGGGAGTGGGGGATGATAACGGAGGGTAGAGGGTGGAGGGTGGTAGAGGGTGGATGTGAAGGAGGGGAAAGATAGAGACTGGTTAGTGAGTGAAGGTGGAGGAGGGTGCGTGGGGATTGCTGTGTGATGAGGGGGTGGAGGGCGGGTGCTGAGGGTAGGTGTAGGTAGAGGGTGGGTGTAGGTGGTGGATGAGGGTAGGTGTAGTTGTTTGTGGGGGATGGTGGGTGTAGGTTGAGGGTAGGTGTAGGTTGAGGGTGGGTGTAGGTTAAGGGGTAGGTGGAAGGAGGGTAGATGGAGGGTGGGTGTAGGTGGTGGATGAGGGTAGGTGTTTGTGGAGGAGGGTAGGTGTAGGTTGGGGGTAGGTGTAGTTTGAGGGTAGGTGTAGGTTGAGGGTGGGTGTAGGTTGAGGGGTAGGTGGAGGGAAAGTAGATGGAGGGTGGGTGTAGGAGCGTAAGTGGAGGTGTAGGGCATGTAGGGTATATGGAGTGTAGAGAGAGAGGGGAGGAGACACTACAGTAGACTTCATGGCTTCGTGGTTTCGCCCCGCGCTGTCGGAATGGCTTACTGTGTCGGGGCGGCAGTGTGTTACTGATTATATTTGATGGGCGACGTCTCATGTTTGATGACATAGCATTCCCCGGTCGCTGGCTCGCCGCCGCCGCCACAGTATTTACCTAGCGGCCGATACACTGCAGCCGCGTGCAGCGACGGCGGCGGCGGCGGCGGCGGCGTGCATGCGGGCACGCATCGTCCGCTGGGCGCAGTAACACACACATATGTCATCTTATCAAAATCCAGCGCAATCGTGCAATTGCTGTTCAATTGGTAACGCCCATGCGCATCAGCTCCCCCGAGGTTCTCTCTCTCTCTCTCTCTCTCTCTCTCTCTCTCTCTCTCTCTCTCTCTCTCTCTCT